TTTCAACCATAAGGCAAATAACCACATGAACATCTAATAAAAGACATAAATATTGAAACACTGATCCAACATTATTCTTGATTGATGGATCATTTGATTTTACACTTTTACCTGAATGTGGCTCCTTTTTTTGAAAAAACTTCCTCATATCCATTATGAACCTGGCTGTCTCTGTACACACACGCACACACCAGGAGTTATAAGGTTGATGGGCATTCAGTTAGTTAGCTAGTATCCATTTCAAACAGGACAGTGGTAACAACAGCAGGCTACGGAGAATTTAAAGTTTTAGATTTTAAATAGTCTGCATACATTTCAATGTTAGCAACAGGACGGTGAAATGTCGCTGAATTTACTACAGAGCAGGACGGATTGTAGGGTAGCAAACATCGTCGGAAAACACGTTGATTCATTTTGAAAATGTGCTAAAATCGCCCCTGATATAAACTCCGTCATGCTAGCTAGTACGCAGTACGAGTTATTGTAACTGACTGTAAAAAGTCAGCATAACGAAAATAAACTCCACCTAAACTTGATTTACATCTGACCCAGATAGACTGCAGGTCATAACTTCTTACCTGAAGTTCAGTTCACCGCCTCGGGTCTCTGCTCCTCCTGCCTTTCCGTCATCCACCTGCTGGCCTCCACCACTTGCTAATGTTACTGAATCTGTGGAAGCCCTTCTCTGTATCTGTCACGGCTGCGCAACAGTCGTGTGGTGAATTGAGAAAAGGATCCAAAATGCAGGCACTGGCTGGGGTGCGAGTGAATGTTTATTTACAGAGGTGATAAGGTGATAAGGTGACAAAAACAGGAGGAGCAGAGCGAGGAGAAAACAAACCTAAACTGGGGAAAACTAAAGAACTCAACTTAAACCAAACATGCACAGGAGGAGGAACAAAATGCACAAAGAAAGCTGGCGGAGAGACGCAGCCTGAACACCGGGTTACACAGAATTATGCAAACGGACATGGCGTTAAACAGACGACACAACAGAGAGCTCAGGAAAACACAGGGCTTAAATACACAGGGAGTAATCAGGGAATAGGCCACAGGAGGGAGACACAGCTGGGAGCAATTAGGCTAACGAGACAGGGGAGAGGTAAAACTGAACACACTGACATGAGACATGAACTTTCAGAATAAAACAGGAAACTAACAGACACAGAGAACCAGACAGGACACTGAACTTGACAGGCAGACTCATGAGCAGACACAATAACACCATGGACAGACAGAGAGAACACGGGCAGGCATGAAACAAAAACACTAACACATAGCAAACCTAAACAAAAGACAAAACAGAATAAACGAGAACAAAGAATAATATAAAGAAACACAATACACCGAGTCCTCAGACTCAGGACCATGACAGTATCTCTTGAAATGCTTATTTTTCTCTTCATATAAAGTGAATTCATTCGTATTTTCCATTGCCTGTCCATCAACCCAATAGCTCATCTTGTTTGCTGTAGATCTCCAGGACTTTATTGTTCTAATGGATGATTTTAAGGTGCAAGCACAGTAAATTCTCTCGGAACCCATCAACTTTAAGACGTTGTTAAGGGTTCAATATTGAGGATGGGTACAAGAGGTGATCGAAGAATAACCACACTGATCCGGCCGGGTGAAGTCAAACAATGATTTAATGCACGCGTGGGAAGATCACTGCGTACGCAGACAGCAATTGATGATCTTTGACAAATCAAAGCATAAGCATATATTTTATACCATCATGGCTTAAATTTAATGACGCCCCCTCAATGTTAGATCCATTTCATACATAGGTCAGATCAAAACCACAATAACTTTTAACACAGTTTAAAAAGAACATTGTCTTCGTCTTCACGGCAGGTACTTCCTGTCACTGCCGGATGCTCGTTTATCATCTTGACACATCAGCAGCAGTTCTGCGACAAACTGCTCTTTTTGCAACCCCGAGCAAAACATGATTAAACTTTCACCTATAAATGATTCTCTCTGAGTGTGTGTGTGTGTCTACGTGTGTGTGTGTGTGTGTGTGTGTGTGTGTGTGTGTGCTAACCACAATTGCACCCTATTTCACCTCGTCGACTAGCTCCTGACCTCTCACCAGACAGAGAGACAGAAGCCACTCTCATATACAGTGGGGCAAAAAAGTATTTAGTCAGCCACCGATTGTGCAAGTTCCCCCACTTAAAATGATGACAGAGGTCAGTAATTTGCACCAGAGGTACACTTCAACTGTGAGAGACAGAATGTGAAAAAAAAATCCATGAATTCACATGGTAGGATTTGTAAAGAATTTATTCGTAAATTAGGGTGGAAAATAAGTATTTGGTCACCTCAAACAAGGAAAATCTCTGGCTCTCACAGACCTGTAACGTCTTCTGTAAGAAGCTTTTCTGTCCCCCACTCGTTACCTGTATGAATGGCACCTGTTTGAACTCATCATTTGTATAAAAGACACCTGTCCACAGCCTCAAACAGTCAGACTCCAAACGCCGCCATGGCCAAGACCAAAGAGCTTTCGAAGGACACCAGGAAAAGTATTGTAGACCTGCACCAGACTGGGAAGAGTGAATCTACAATAGGCAAGCAGCTTGGTGTGAAAAAATCAACTGTGGGAGCAATCATCAGAAAATGGAAGACATACAAGACCACTGATAATCTCCCTTGATCTGGGGCTCTACGCAAGATCTCATCCCGTGGGGTCAAAATGATCATGAGAACGGTGAGCAAAGATCCCAGAACCACACGGGGGGACCTGGTGAATGACCTGCAGAGAGCTGGGACCAAAGTAACAAAGGTCACCATCAGTAACACACTACAACGGCAGGGAATCAAATCCCGCAGTGCCAGACGTGTTCCGCTGCTGAAGCCAGTGCATGTCCAGGCCCGTCTGAAGTTTGCCAGAGAGCACATGGATGATACAGCAGAGGATTGGGAGAATGTCATGTGGTCAGATGAAACCAAAGTAGAACTTTTTGGTATAAACTCAACTCGTCGTGTTTGGAGGAAGAAGAATACTGAGTTGCATCTCAAGAACACCATACCTACTGTGAAGCATGGGGGTGGAAACATCATGCTATGGGGCTGTTTTTCTGCCAAGGGGACAGGACGACTGATCCGTGTTAAGGACAGAATGAATGGGGCCATGTATCGTGAGATTTTGAGCCAAAACCTCCTTCCATCAGTGAGAACTTTGAAGATGAAACGAGGCTGGGTCTTCCAACATGACAATGATCCAAAACACACCGCCCGGGCAACAAAGGACTGGCTCCGTAAGAAGCATTTGAAAGTCCTGGAGTGGCCTAGCCAGTCTCCAGACCTCAACCCCATAGGAAATCTGTGGCGGGAGTTGAAAGTCTGTGTTGCTCGGTGACAGCCCCAAAACATCAGTGCTCTCGAGAAGATCTGCATGGAGGAATGGGCCAAAATACCAGCTACTGTGTGTGCAAACCTGGTAAAGACCTATAGTAAACGTTTGACCTCTGTTATTGCCAACAAAGGTTATGTTACAAAGTATTGAGTTGTATTTTTGTTATTGACCAAATACTTATTTTCCACCCTGATTTACGAATAAATTCTTTACAAATCCTACCATGTGGATTCATGGATTTTTTTTTCACATTCTGTCTCTCACAGTTGAAGTGTACCTCTGGTGCAAATTACTGACCTCTGTCATCATTTTAAGTGGGGGAACTTGCACAATCGGTGGCTGACTAAATACTTTTTTGCCCCACTGTATGTAATAACCGAACTGAAATTATGTATATGTCATCTACTGAATAAATGTTTTAATCAAGAACCTCTACTAAAAGCTTAATACAAGAATATGAACTTATAAACGATAATTAAAAATAACCTGATATAAGTGTTTTGAAAGCCTGTATTGCAATTCCTTCTATGTTCTAGTTTCCCTCAGCATGTATCACCTGGACCATCACGCCAGTGAAGCTTAAGACCCTTAATGAACCGAACATCAACTCAAAATAAGCACAGATATGCAATATGTATAAAAAAGTTATAACTGCATCTGGAATACAAGGTTAATATGATAACAGTATGCATAAGCCTCTTAAGGCCATCTTAAAACTATCGGTTACATTGTTAAAGCAATGATTATACTGCAGATTATATTGTACTGGTAAAATACTTTTGTTCATTCCCACAACGTGCAAGGTCATCTGTAAAGTCATGGTCCTCCTGCCTGCTAGGCAGCATGATGATATCATAGAATCAGTGTAGGTAAAATGATATAGATGGAAATATAGACAAAAATCTTCAGGACCCTAAGATAATCCTGTGTGTTAATTTTAGTTTCTTGTCTCCTGATTATGTAAGATTTTCCAATAAGTTTCCAAATAAAGACAGGCTTTGTATATTACAGTAAGACTCCATAAGCAGGACAATGTAAAAGAACATAAACATGAAATAAATTTTCGCGAACTAATTCATAATGTGTTTTTGTAAAAACCACTGCAGAAGTTTTTAAACTGGATTTCACTAGCTGGGTCCATGTTCTGAAATTCTGATACTTAATCTCCAATTAAAGGTGGTTAAAATTATCTGGTTGTCAACATGAGCATTACATGAAGTTCCAGCCTTCAGTCTTCTGTAAAAAAAAAAAAAAAAAGGTCAATTATTCCTGCATTTATGGCCATGTTTATGTAGTTGGAAAAAGTTGAGTGAGGCTAATAACATTCTGTCCTGAACAAATTAGTGCTTGATCAAAACAATTTGTCAGAAAAGTCCTAATTTTAATACTGTAAAAATCACAAACATGAAGTGCTCTTTATTCTAATTTCAAAATCAGCTTTCTTTTACTGATTTAGACTTTTACCTGAAAGTTGAAATATGTACTTTATGAATAACGTTAGTTGTATCACATGATAATCACTTTAGGCTGTAAAAATGCAAGTGCAAGAACAACATAATCATCATGGGCTTATTGTTTACATTAAAGTGTGATGATTGTTATAGGTTATGCATTTTTTCTACTATGTGTGTTTCTACAGAATTAACCAGGACTGGGCAAATCGTATGGTTTCTAAAGTGGTAGGATACAAAGGGGTGCAAAGGAAAATCAAGTCACCTGAGGCTCAGATAGACAACAATATCTGGAAGAGCAAACAGCCCCAGCTTCCTCGTATTCTTCCTCAGGTCACATGCTCAGGTCCACTCAGCAGACCAAGAAGCCACAGCAAAGGCCTCTCTACTGCAGTTCCCAACCTTAAAGACAAAAGAGGTCAGGACAAAAAAATAAACGGGATGCAATTACTCATGTTCATAACTCAAACTCAACCTTCCACTTTGGTGTGGGGGAAATCATGGAAGTACAACAAATCCTTGCGATCACCAACAGAGAGTGCCATAGACTGGGGCCAGTGCTGGATGTTTGCAACCCAGCAACCTTGCTCTGAAACTGGGAAACCTTGGTCAAATGAGCCAAATGTGATAAATCCACAGAACCTTAATGTCTGGATAAAACCTGACAATAGGAAGATGGATTCACAGCAGCTAAATTTGAATCTTCCCATTGAAGATTGGCAGATGTCCTGGAAAAAATCTGATCCATGCAGCAAAGAAGATACAAATGGAGAGAATATCCCCAAATCTGGATTTTTTACATTGCTGCTTGAGACTGAGCACCACGATGAAGTCTTGCACTCATCAGAATGGAGTGAGTCATGGAGATCAACCAAATCAGCAATTCAGCAGGATCCAATCAGTGTTCCAGGTGATGGTATATTGAATGAGTGTGTTGCTAGGAAGCAAGACAAAAATCAAGAGATAAGCTCTGAGTGGGAAGAATGTTGGAGGCTTGTAAACCACCATTGCTACAACAAATCGGAGGTGCCTCAACACAAAAAATCTCAGAGTTCAGAGTGGGCAAACTCATGGCAAGTAGCTATGGTGGTTGTTAACAAGTCTCAGAATTCAAATCCTACTTTGAAAAAAGATGATGACTTTAATGACCACAACCAACAGAAAGAGCCCTGTTTCCACAAAATCATGCCTATGTCACATGAGCATAAAGACAACCATCTATACTTGCAGCATTGCAAAGAATTTAATGGAGTCTCTGAGTGGAGCAAGTCATGGCAGGTGACCAAAAACAACTCAGAACCATGTGAGGAAATAGAGAAAGTCCTTAAGACTTTGCCACCAAGGGCAGAAACTGCTTTGGAGTTTCAGTTGTTGGACAACAACTCTAAGGTGTATTTTTCAACTTCAGAAGAAGCAGATTTACAGTATGAGCAACTGAAACACAACATAATATATCAGCCAAAGAGCGAATTCAGCCAGTCTAGGTTATTTCTTCTGAAATATTTAGAAAACAATTTGCCTTGCTCAGAACTGAGGGACTCTTGGAGGACAATAAAGCATAGAATGAGGTTGGAGAGAAGAAGACTGAGGATAAACCTACCCAGCTCTTTCAAAGATTCACAAAAGGGGGGTTATATGAAGCCAGCTGCTGCAGAGTGGAATGACTCATGGAAGTTTACATGCCAGCCCTTGTACCAAATGCTTGACCTGTGGCAGCAGGGTTGGTCCACCCCAGCTCAAAACCGTGTAGCTCGAGCAAAGTACCAGAGCCACATTGTACTTGTAGAATTCCCTAGTAGTGAGGGAACTGGGGAGTGGAGCTTGAAGGAATCGTGGAAGTTCTCAAGACACCAGAATCGATCAGAACCTGGACAGGAAAAGGTGCAAATCCACCAAGGAAATTGTACTTCTCACAATCCTGACAACTCATGGACACAAGGGAGACATGTCACTGCAATTTCAGACTGGGAAACATCCTGGATGGTCTCAGAGACTCAGTTGCATCATGATAAACCCTCCTTAACTCAGTGGAGAGAAGCCTGGAAGTGGTCGATGTACCACACACACTGGACTGAATCAATGCGTAGAGAGAACTGGGTGAATGAATCATTGGAAATCGAACCCCTAAAGGGGAAGACTTCCATGCAGAGAATCAAAGCAAAAATGAGCTGGTCTTTTGACAGCCAGATTTTCAGGGAAAGATACCATGAGAAAGATTGGAGCCCTTCATGGAAAGCTGCATCTCTTTTCAGTCATCAGCCAAGTCATTTTGAATCTTCAGAAATAAGTAGGCAAAGCATAAGCAACACTATTCAACAGCAACATGCCAGTGCAAGTGAGCATGGATGCAAGTGGGGAAAGTCATTCAGACTTGCCAACCCAATGCCACAAGTGGAAAAATCCTGGTGGGAGTCCCCTTCTAACCATTGTCAGTATACAGTCGAATGGTCAAGAGAAAAGAAAATACAAAATGACATCAGAAACATGTGTGACAACAATACACCAAACTACAGCCTTTGGAGAAACTCCCATGAGTTCCTGCAGAGTGCCAAGGTGCATAACAAAGAGAAAAGAAAGCTAAAGGGAACCAATGACCCAAGGGTCATCATAACAAAAACAGCCAAAACAAGAAGGCATTTGTACTCCAACAATGACAAAGACAAACAATTAGAAAAGAAGTGGGTAGGATGCCACCTCTTGCGCAAAACCCAACCATGTTCAAGGAAAGTTAGCTCAGGAAAAAAGCTAAATCCTGAGGATAAAACCAATGAACAGATCCCTGAAGAGTGGGAAGAATCTTGGAGATTCTTGGTTAGGCCTGATAGTTTGAAAAAGCAAATGTCCTTCAAGTTGCTGTCAGGTTGGAATGATTCCTGGAAGTTCCTAGTTCCACCATACAAACCTCTCAATGGCCCAAAAGCAAAATAGGTAGAACATGACTATGTAGTTCATCTGATTTGTGAATCTCTGTCTTTCAGATTATATGCAAACCCTTTACTAACAAGCTAATGGCTAGCTAATCTTTGGTAAACGAATTTTTTAAATTGGCCTCTAGAAAGAAATGTTCACATTTTTCCCTTTTTGTATAAAGAGCTTCACAACAAAAATACTTACAATAAATTATGAGTTATAGTATTGTCAGTTTCACAAGGAGAGGAAGGGACTCTGGGTCTTTTTCACAAGCAGCTTAAAAGGGCTGGACAAAATGTTTGATTGGCATAGCACACTTTTTCCAATCATTAGGACACAAAGACAAAGGTTAATTTTAGCACTTGCAAGGATGTGTCTATTTTTTTTAATTTTTTTTAATTAAGTCAACGGCGAAAAGTCTTGTTAAAGTGTGCTAAAGCATTCCCCTAACATATTCTGGCTACTGTAAGAGCTGAACCAATTAATTTCTGGTATGCACAATCAAAACTAATATTTATGATTGAGGAAAAACAGAGTAAGTGAAGTTGTACGTGAAGTTTGAATTGTTGAGGAAAGAATTGTAGTGGCTGGACAAAGTTACATGAAAGTGCTTGGTAGTGTTTATGAAAGTGAATATTATGTCAAACAATGTATTTCAACTGAAGGAGTAAAAAATTTGTCTCATGAATTTCTGCACAGTGGTACAAAAACTACTATAAATATGAATATCATGTTCACTTGTACGTTAGTAGCTAAAAGGAACTTCAAATCTGGTTTCAGACATTAAATGTTTGTGCATCACAGTTTCATATTTCCTTCACTAAATTCCCTGCATTCATTGTTGTTATAGGACATAACATTTACATTTAATACTGATATTGGCGCACATTAAATAAAAGAATGTTTGTTTTGATTACAATCCTCTATCTTGGCTGGAAGGGCAGTGCTAAATATATGGTCAGTTTTAAAATGCATAATTTTCACACTTTGGTCCAAGTTGGAACAATCAGAAAAAGCCATACCATAAAATTGGACCCTTAAGTCACTCTTGTATCTGTATTTCAGCTCATTTGGTTCAAACCAAGGGGGGGAATTATTTACTGTTTCTTTATGCATTTTGCTGATTGTTTTCTTAATCGCAATTGATAATTGAGAAGTTAAGCTTTGTAGTTAAAATTAAGAGCGACACTGTTGCTATTTTAAAAATAACCTGCTTTAAATAATAGGTCAGATGCATAAGTTACTCATGTGAGACCTCTTGAGTGCCAAGGAGACAGGAAATCTGGATGTTTACAAAATACATGTTTTGGAAATATATAAGCTGATAATAGCATCTGCTGAGGCAGGTCACTTATAGACTGCCATGCTTATAAAAGAAATAGGCTCACTGAGAACACCTAGTGGACAGGATCAACATGACAGAAGTTTAGAGTTTTAATGCTGTCAGACATATTTATTGTTTCCCCTGATTAAAAATATATAAGCATGAAAATATAAATTTGTTGCTATTATTACGTTGAGGGTATTATGTTCTTTGTTTTGAGGGTTTTTGTGTTGTTTTTGAATCATGTACCTATACTACAATAAAGATGATACAGCAATAAATAAAGTTATGATTGTTCTTGTTAGTGGTTGTCTTGATATATTTCTTGAGACTACTTTGCTGTAACACACTCTATCATTCAAGACTGTTATAATAATTTAATGAGATTATAGTCAGAATTAGTAATTTCATAATAATATCTCAGTGCCAACATGAAAATGGTTAAACTAGATAAAAATATCTGCAGCACAATCAACACTTGCAGCTAATTTTCTTGCTCTCTCGCCAACAAACAGTTCACTGTCACAGATTATATTTTAATCTTTTTTGTTATTGGTAAAAACAGGTAGCTGTTTGCAGAGAGTACATTTCTAAAAACCCCTTTTATTACCTGCTAAAAACTTGGGTATGTACTTCACAAGTTGGTAAAATCACAGAGAGACAGAAAAGAGAGATAATGGGACTAAACTGTGATGGTGTCACTGTCAGTATGTGAGACGGACAGTGACATTGTACCTTTTTTGAAGTGACTGAAATGATGTCATTAAGTGATGACTTGATTGAACTGGTCTGTTGAACATGTTAATCTTTTCTAGTCCAAACACAACCAGTTACTGATGGGGTGAGTGTTTTTCCAATACAGAACCATGACAGATTCGGCCTGCATTCTGTATATGCATGAAAGGTGCAATCATTAAATGATTGAAATGGTTACACTTCTGAATGCGCCACAGAAATAACAGTTGACCCAGAAAACTGAGACACAAGACTGGATTATATGCCTAAACAGGTCAGGTGGAAGAGGTACCGTTTGGACCCTCGTTATAACAAATGTGCCTGTTTCAGCAGGAAGAAGGTTTAGAAACAATTTGGCTCAGGATTGGTTCACACTTGCACACAGCTGTCATGTTTGTGTACGTATCTGACCTGTTTAGGTGTCTCAAGCTGAAGAACAGCAGGGTGATTCTTAGAAATCCCCTGTCACAGGTGTACAGATTTATTTTCTGCTTTACAGTTTGTGGAAACATTACTGTTCTCTGTATGCTGCTGGTAAGTATTTCTATGTCTTCAGACTTTCTTATTGGTTGGCTTATATATATACTACACTGGCAATCCACTCATCTGCCTTGACAAACATATGAACTTAAGTGACATCTCATTTTCAATCCATAGGCTTTAATATGATGTTGGTCGAAGGCTCCACAAGGTTTAGTGTTTATGGGAATTTGGGATTATTTTTCCAGATGTGATCTGAGGTCTGACACTGATATTGAATGTAAAGACCTGGAATGGCTTGCGGTCTCTGCTCTGTCTACCTCTGTCTCTGCCCCCCCTCCACCAAACATTTACATTTGGCACAAAAGCCATAAAGAGCCCATTCCATGAAGCTCTCTACACACCATTATTGTGATAATCTGAAGGCCACATGGGGTTTGGATCTGTAGTGATTGACTGCAGAAAGTAGTGACCTCTGTGCTATCCCCATCAGCATCGACTCACCCCACTCTGTGGTATTACATGGCCTCATTCTTACACAGATGTTTGTCTGCATACCTAGCTGCTTAATTCTATACACCTGTACTGAAGTGATTGGAACATCTCAATTCAATAATTTGAACAGGTGAGTGAATACTTTTGACAATATAGAGTAAAACACGTTTAAAGAATTTGTTGCATTTGTTGCCAGGTCAGACTTGAAAGGATATTTTTAGTAACAAGGACTTTTAGTACACTGATACAAAGATGAAATTAATAAAATTAGTTAACGTCGTATTAATTAAATGACACCACAGAGTGTTGTTTCTCTTTTGATGATCTCTTCAAAACCTGGAAAAAAACTTATGAGTGGGAAAAAATACACGTGTAACCACCCACATGTTCTGCCATTTTGTTATTTGATAAACTAACACAATAAAACAGCAGTAATCTTAGCAGTAATCATTAAAGAAACATTTGATTTGAATCAAGAAATACTGTACATACACAGCAGTTATAACTTAGTGAAGACTCCTTCACATTAAATCAGTTTTTATTGTAGAAATCGTGATAAAGCCTGTTTGTCTGGTCATCAGTTTGTGTTGCCCTTCTGTAGTTTTCTGTCATCAGCAGCAGGATGATCTGAGGATCCCATTACAGGTGGAGCGGACTCCTGCTGCTGTCTGACCTCACTGAAACCTGACCCGAGAGCAGCACCAATACCTGGTCTGTAACTTCAGTATGTATAGAGAGTTCAGTAAGATGTGTAGGAAGTACATGGTCACATGAGCAGCCCAGCAAACAAGTCATTGGACAGTTCTGGTGATGCCATCAGTCTTTATATGTCAACAGTGTATTTTGTTGAGTCACACTACACGGCACTGAGCCTTGCAGCCTTATTTCGGTCATCTCAGGTGGCCTTGAAGTATAAATAGTTGTTTACAAACCTTTATTAGTCTAAACAGCAGGAAGTTTCCCATAAATAATGAAGAAATGAGATGTTGTGGACTCTATAATGCTTTCAACAAGTTAATAACTAGAAATGTGGTAACATCACTAGAAATAAATCACACAGGGCTGTAAACAAACAGACAGTTTATCCAGATCATATAAACCACTAAATCTAGAGGTGACACAAAAGGTGAGGTGGGTGGACAACGTCAACAAATAAAGCCCCATCAGAGTATATGTTAAATATTGAAACCTCCCAAATATTTCACAGGAATTGACCTCATAGACCATAAAAGGTGAATGTAGACACTATTAAGTCACCCATCCACCTTGGAAAGCCCAGGTTTTCATGGCCAAATGTCATGAAGGAAAACTGTTTATTCTCAAACTGGTTGGTGAGGCAGGGTGGAGGGAGAGGTCATTGCTAGGTGACCTTGCTAGGTGACTGCAGTTGGTTTGGCTGCTAACAAACTTGTCTTTAAACATTTGGCAGCTACTGTACAGGCAGTACTGAAAACACTGGAAGTAAAACACTGGATCTTTTGAAATGTGTTGACTGAGTGCTGACAGTAGCAAGGCACATCTTTTATTTTGAAGATCATGTTCTGTTTCTGGTTTGCTACAGGTGACTGTAGCAATTTAATACCGATCACAAGGATGTTTTTGGTGACATATCCTCTTTATGATTTATTCTGCCTGGCAAGGGCCAGGAACTACTCACCAACCAGCTAGGAAGAGTACATTTTTCTCAGTTGACTGGTGGTTTCCAGATGGTTACCTACCAGTCTGTGGCATTTGCATAGATATGACAATCATTTAAAGCAGTCACACCCTTACCTTTAGGCCTGACCAAGTTAACTCAAGCATGAGTTGTGAAAAGATATGTCACTTCACTGTTGTTATGAAGCAGGAACACTCCACAGAAACCTTTTTTTATCAGGTTGTAAACTTTTGTTAGTCTGTTTATTTCCACCATTTGACCTTAGAACTGAAGAAGCTTCTCGGATGAGAGGTGAAACGTATCCAAGTAACTTAAAGAAGTCCAGACGCTTTTCTTTGCAAGCTCCTTTGACTACGATGACCTGGATGACTGAGAACCTTCACAGACATATCTGTTTATTTCTGTTGTAAAGCTGAACATTTTAATGTGGGAACCTTGGTGAAACTCCTGTATTGCCTTTATTTTTTAGTTGCAGCCAACAAACTGCTATTATGGAGGAAACTGGAATCTTTTCCCACTTAGCAGCTTTTAAATTAATTGGGTAATGGCACAGTCTCCTTTAGCTTTCATTCCCACAAACTTGACACCTTTTTTAAAGCTAGAACCAATTTTGTAAAGCAGGACAGTTTCACTTCCAAGTACTCCAACTGTCAGGAAGACAGTTAACCCAGCTTTTCCCACGGGAGCCTGGATGCCTGCAATCTGATATGGAGAGGTGTTTCAGACTCTTTGTGCTGATTGGCTGATTGCCAGGCGGCGTGAGAAATCTCTGGAGGAGTAAATGTGCATGTTACAGCTGTTAAAGATTCAAAAACCATTTGGTTTCTGATTGGTTAACACTTGCAAACAGCTGTCCTGTTTGTCTATGCAGCTGCACCTGTTAATTAAAAATCCATTTCGATTGTGCACAATTCATGTCACTTCTCCGTATTTCCATGCAGCCGGCTGCTCCTGTCCTGTTTCTCGTTGCCTCACCCTGAAACTAAATTTAGAGCTCTGGATCTGTTAGCGTATGATGTAAAAATAGCAAAGAAGGGAAGCCTTCTCACCACAGAGCAGAGACACGGGACACACTGAGTGTACGCTGGTAAAAGTTAAAAGCAGAAACGAACTGAAAACAGAGAGAGAGAGAGTAAGACAGGAACCACTGAAGCTGCTGTAAAGTGTAGAGACAGACAGGCGCAGACACTGACAGTCAGTAGTGAACACAAACTGTGGTCCACATTAATACAGAGTTACATGTAAGAGGGGATTTAAATAAAACATCTGAGACACAGAAAGACTTCAGGTAAGTTGGGATCGTTATTTTTAATTTTACATTTATTGAACTTCCTGTATATTGTAATGAATTAGTCACTCATATAATTCATTTCAATTAGATTGTTGAAGAAAAAAAATACTAAAGATACCGAATGAAGAAAGCTACATTACATGTCTGTGTGCATCTGTAAGTTAGGGCTAGACTATAACACAGAGGCTCAAGGCTCAAATACTGCTAGAAGCATAAAACACTTATCTTGGACATGCCACTGGTCAAGCTGCACTGTGGGTAATGTAGGCTCCCAGGGTTAACTGCTTGGACTGTCAAGTCTTACAATAACAAAAGTATTACATTAATAAAAGCAAAACTTAAAAGACATTTTTAACCCTCTCAGGTCTACATCACCATTGGTGATGACCCAAACCTGAACTCTAACCCTGGGCAGTCAGATTATGTAATTAAAGCTTGTTTTTTATGAATTTCTTCTCTCAGGTCTCATCAATTAGGGATCAAGGAGAACAACCATTTTCACAAACATTAAAAACTTTTCCAGAATAGTCTGTTTACCTTTCTCCAAATGTGGGACAGGATTAACACCTGATGACTTAGACCTCAGAGAAATAATTTCCACCCACTAACAGAAAACTGTAAT